TTAAGATGGAAAAGCTAGAGATGATTTAATATATTTTCTCAGAACTTTACACACATACAAAGTAACTCCAGCTGATTTAAATCACAATTGGTGGCATCTAGTACCATGCTACAGCAGTAGGCAGGCATGCTGCCTGGAAGGAGGTGCTTTATTCACTCAGATCAGCTAAGCAGTCAAGCAAGTTCACATCCAGTTCATCACAGATGAACTCAGTGCAAACTAGCTGAACAAGCTGAACAGAACCTTAGTGCAAAGCAGCTGAACAGAAGAAACAGATTAGAAACACACTAAGCCAGTTCAGATCAACCCACAGGTTAAGCTCTCCACAAATGGACCAGAAGCTGATTAAGATCACAGTGGTCCCAAAATCTACTCAAAGAAGTGACAAAAACAGCAACACTAAGGATTAAAACCTGTGTTGACCCTCAGAATATTAAGGCTGAGGAAGACGTTTGCTAGATCACTTACATCAGTTCTCATTCAGCCTCCCTGCAAGAAAATTAATTTTTCTTACTTATATAAGCTGCAAGCAGCTTGAATTTATCTTCATAGATTGCCACTAGAGCAGTGCCAAGGGTGCACAGAGTATATTGAAAGACTGTTGGCTTTGGTTGGTTTTGTCATAACAGAACTTCCCAGTCAAAGGGAAAAAAAAACCCAAACAAAAAATTCTTAGTAGATAAAAGGAACAAAAGAAAGAGCAACATCATGTACAACAGTTGGAACATTTCACTTTTAGTTCAGCTTTGACATAAAGACCAGATAGACTTAATACCTAACCAGTCTGTTTTTACACCCTCTCAATGTCAGTAAAAAGCTGCTTCACATGAAGTGAAAAGCACTAAGGCTTAAATCCTTACACAAGGAAGTGACAGGGTAACACACAACTGACACAACTGTGAACTTGAGCTGCTGAGCACTTGGGGAAAGCTTGGGAAAAAAGCTAAAAAAAAAAAACAACCTAAGGAAAGTTCTGGTTTTTTGCATCTCCGTGGCAAACAAGTTGGGGTTCAATTTCTTTTGAGCTGCTCGAGCAAAACTCAGAAACCATTGACTGAAAGATGCTCCCCATGAGGAGCTCTGATTAGCAAGAAGACTTGCAAGGAGCACAGTTTAAAACATCTTAAAATGACACAAACTAAAGGTGTAATAGCATGGTTAGGGATTCTGGAGGTAAACAGGTCGGTTACATCAGCAAAAGCTTTATGAGTAGCAAAGGTGGATTCCATACTATATATGAAGCATATACATATCAACGAGCTGAATGTGGCTCTCATTTCTCTCTGCTCCTCTGCACAAATGTAGAAGTTAAGGCTGGTAATCAGGAAATTGAATTCAATATTTCCAACAGAGCTAAATACAAATTCAATACTAAATTCACATTTTGCTAGTCAACATGCCTTGAAATCTTCCAGTATACATCAGTAACATGGAAGACTTCAGGCAGGAAGAGATGCACACTTCAAGAGTAATAAAAGCAGAACACAGTTCCTTTAGTAAGGAGGAATTTTACGGATCCTGCATGCGTGATCAGTCAAACTGTGAAGGAGAAGCACGAGGCAGATTTCTGAATACCTTGAGAACAGAAGGCAAACCAAAGCCAAAGCCTAAACAGGGCCATCCACTGTGCTCACACATCACAGGCTACAGACATTCTCCTGCAGCACAAATACAGCACTCAGACAATCTGAAGCACTCTCCTCCAGCATGCATGTTAACTGTCAGGATTAGGAGCCAACTGCTCTGCCACAGGCTGGCTGCTGGCTGTGCCTGCTCAAGTGTTTTTCATCACACATTCAGTGCAGCGTGTAAATACCTTTACTAGCAGCTTGCAAGGAAGATGTGCTTGTCCAAAAGGCCATTGGATTAGATTTAAAAAGGCTAAAATTAAATCCTAGAAAATAAATGGCGTGGAGAGAAATGTTTAACTGAAATTTTCAAGGGGGTAAAACAAACCTTATTCCTATCCACGTTCTGGAAGCATTCCACAGTTACACATCACAGTAGGAAAACTCACATTGAATGCTACACAAGCTTATCCAACCCCTATGAATAAACTGCAGTCAACATCTCTAGCATCTCACTTAGTGTATTACAGTTAAGAAACAGTTTGCCTTCATACGACAGAGACTGCTATAGATATTAAAAGGCACCACCTGCTGAAACAGTCCTGCAATTGTAGGAAGCAGTGCATGAAGTCCTCTATCAGTACAACGCCAGCAAATCCCTGTCACTGCACAAAGATACCTGAGCACATTACGTGAACACACTGCAGCCACTGCTTCTGCAAGCTCAGCCTTCAGCTAGTATCAGAGCCTGTGTAACTGAGGACGTAATCACAGGATCTCTTTTCAAGCTAAGAAAAGCTAGACTGTGCATCAGGAATTGCACAGACCACTCATGGAAGTCTTCAAGCAAATGTACTGCGTGTAGTTTCAGAATACCCATCCACACAGTCATAGAGATAACTGAGTTTAAGCTTAAGCACAAGTGCTGTTCTATAGCTTACCAGTCAGAGCGAGGCCTGTGCACATACATTACCAGTTCAACTCAAAAAATGCACTTTCAGCACTTAACCCTGACATTTTCAGCACCTCATCAAGATTCCAAAATCCTACCGGCAATTCTCTCTCACTACAGAGTAACACCAAATCCTGTACAAGGCACGTTTGTATCTTTATGTGCAAATAATCTGCAACCTGAATATTCACTCAAGTTGAAAGTCTAGAATTTGAAGATTCACATATGGACATTAGAACTGAAAGAAACTACATTTTATTAAGACAGAAGAAATAACACAATGACTGGCATTAACGAGTTGCACACTTGAATAAGCTCCTTGTTCAATTCACACTCACCTTTTTCCAGAATTTTAAATGAGAAGTTGGAGGGTCCATCCTGTGCTGAGGGAGCCACATTGGATGCCTTGCTGTCCGAAGGTTTCTGAGATGCACTGCAGCTTTTAGATGGTTCAGCTACTCCCACTTTTTTCTGTTCTGCTTTCTGAGATGCTGAAATATCATCTGTGCTTTTTCTTGGAGGATTAAAGCTGAATCCAAAGAGGGAACCGGTGGCTGAAGTATTTCCAAATGTGAATGTCTTTGACTTCTCATTACTGAAAATGCTCTTGACAGATTCAGATCCAAATACAAACTTTGGAGGAGAAACCACTGTTTTGGGTGGCGTTTCAGAGGTACTTCTCGATACCTCTAAAGCTTCTACAACAGTGTCAGAACTATCATCACCATGGCTGAGGTCAGTTCTTTCCCTGGTAGTTTCTTCCAGTACAGCTACAGCGTTCTTACCACAAGGAGATTCTTTTGCTGTATTGGTACGAGAAACGTGAGGCGTTATCAATGTGCCTTTCTCTTGGGCTTGCTTTGCTTCATCAAAAGTTTGCTTAAATGAGTCTGCAACATCCTGCAGTTTGAACCGCACTGCTAGCAGCTCTATTTTCCTTTCCCCGTCTGCAAAATCGCATGCTGTCCACACCCATACTCTGTCAGATCCTTTCATTTGTTGCATATTCATATCTGGCGTTATTCTGTGGTTGGCACAGAGTTTTAGTACCTGATCCCTTCTCATTACTATGCGTGCTTGTTTGCTGTCATAGTTCTGCAGTATCTTGATATCCCCAATACCTCTCTCCTTCCATTGGTTTGTGTCTTTATCATATCTATAGAGTTTAGCTCTATGACTGAAGACAACTTGCTCATTTTCCTCGCCACTAGTCACTTCCACAAGGTCAGGCAGAGGTACTACGGGTTCGAAGTACTGCCCATCTCTCTCCTCCTCTTGAGTAAGATCAGAATCTTCATCCGTGCCCACAGATGTTCCACTCTGGTTCTGCTTGGCAGGAGATTTGGATGGACTCAAGGCAGATTTAAAGCTGAAATTGAAGCCTGCTGTAGACTCTCCAAATCTAAACAGATTTTTCCTTACAGGGCTGCTTGCAAGAGGTGATGCATACACAGAGCTACTTAAGCTGTCATCCAATGCTTCCTCACGCAACTCACAGTTGCTCCACTCCACAGCAGGCCCAGTACCTTCAGCGTGTGGCTCTGTGACAGAATCAGAGGTGCCACCAGCACAGGCAGAGCTTATGTTTTCTTCTTCTGCTAGTTTAGTTTTGTCATCCGTCAGAAACGTTTTGAGATCTTTTAAGCCGGTCTTCATTTCTTCTGCTTTCTGTATAAGCTGAGCTGTCCTGCCTGTATCGACAAGTTTATGGGGTGTCTGCAGTGGTATATCTAGCAGTAGCTTCTGACACTCTTCAAACTTCTGTTTGAACTCCTCAGCCTGCTCTGGTGTTTTGAACTTCGCTGCCAGCTGTTCCAGCTTTGCATCGCCATCAGAGAAGTCACTGGCCATCCACATCCATGCTTTGTCTGAGCCCGACAGCTGTTTCAAGTTCATAGTTGTTGTGATCCAGTGATTTGCACATACCTTCAGTACCTGCTCGCGTCGCATTAGTATCCTTACTTTGCCATTCACTTCATTTTTAAGAATCTTCAGGTTGCCCACCCCACGTTCTTTCCACTGGCTTGTTTCTGGATCAAACCTGAATAGCTTCACCCTTTGGGAGTACAGCACTTTCTCATCCTCCTCTCCTGTAAACGGTTCTACTTTTTCAGGCATCTGAACTATCGGTTCAAAATGAATATCATCACTGTCCTCAGTCTTGTACACATCGTCATCCTTCTCACCAAGATCAGCAGAGGTGCTTGCTCTGTGACCAGTCTGAGAAACCTTTGAAGAAAACAGCTGTTCACCTGCACCTGAGAAGCCTTCAAAGTTAGGATCTTTTTTGCCAAACTGAAAGCCTTCACTGGGGGTACTTTTTGCAAGATCAGCAAAAGTAAAAGTACTACTGCTGTTCTGGCCAAACGTAAACTCACCCTTGTCCTTGTCTGCTGTTTCCTCAGATTGGAGTGTAACTCCACTACTTGAAGGCAGTTCACTTTTGTCTTTTTCGTCAACGTTTTTCAAGTCTGTTGTACACTCCTTGGGTGGATCATCTTTCTTACTAGTATTTTTATTGGATTCCTGGATGCCAAATTTAAATCCACCTGGAGGCACCAACATTGAAAAGCTGAATCCTTCCTTTGCAGGTTTTGCTTCAGCATCTCCAAGATTCTGAAATGTAAATGCTGGTGTTTTCCCTTGATCAGCATGACCAAACTTAAAGCTTTTTCCTAAGAATTCACACTTAAAACCCGTTCCCGGTTGTCCTCCAACAGGTTCAGATGATTTACTTTTCAAGTCAGAAGTCAACAATGAAACATCACTGGTAGGCTTACTAGATGGATTTGGTGTTTGGCAAGCTACACAAGCTGGTGAGGAACCTTCGTTCCTTACAAAACAAGTATTACAATCCCACTGTCCTTCCTTTTTAGCAAAAAGCTCTGCAAATGCATTCTTCTGAGGTTTACTTGCCTCAGTAGCAGATCCAAAGCTGGGAGCAGGAAGCGCCTGAACAGCAGATACTGGCACATGTGGTTGACCTTGAGAGTTAGGACTCTGACAAGAACGACAGTTTTCATCATTTGCTTCGTTCTGGGTGAGGCATACAGAGCAGTTCCACTGACCTTTCAGTGAAAAAGCAGTTCCCAAGTCATTCTGAGTAGTCTTTGGAGCATCTAGTCGTTCCAGTTTAAAGGAAAATTGTTGAGGAGATACTTCTGAATTAGTTTTGCTTGGATTCTGGCAGGCAACACATTTTGTGGCAGTGGGTTCATTTCTTACTGAACAGATACTACAGTCCCACTGACCTTCCTTTTTAGCAAAGGCAGATCCTAATTTGTCCTGTGTGGCACTACCGCTGGCTTTGAAACTTGCAGCAGATTCACTTACTGGGATGCCATGTGCGTCCCACGTATCTGGATTTGGGCTTTGGCATGAGACACAGTTCTTAGCAGTTGCTTCGTTCGGAACTAAACATACTTTACACTCCCACTGATTCTTCTTCAAGGGAGACTGTCCAAATCCGCCAGAGGAATAGGTTTGTATGGCTTCCTTTCCAAATGAAAAAGTGGCAGGGGCGGTTGACGTTGACGTAAAACTGCCTTTGCTGTCAGATTCGCTGGTCACACTATCTTTTGAGAACCGAAATACGGAGTTCAAGATCCCTAATGTTGACCCGCAAGATTCCTTGGTATCTTGACTTGTTGCCTCTTTAGCAGTTCCAGTGCTCCGAGTCAAGGATGCATCAGCACTTGATCCTGATGTTTTTAACACATTCTGACACTCCTCAAACTTACTTTTGAAAAGCATTGCTTCCTCTGGTGTTTTAAATCGAATTGCAAGCTGCTCTGGCTTTGGCAGCTCATCTGCATAATCTAAAGCATGCCATACAAATGATCTATCTGATCCAGCATTTGGAGTTAATTTCATATCAGTATTTATGTAGTGATTTGCACAGATTTTTAGTACTTGGTCCCTTCTCATTAAGAGACGGAATTTGCCAGATACTTTGTGTTTCAGTATTTTCACATTTCCAATACCTCTTTCTTTCCATTCTTTAGATTCTGCATCAAACCGGAACAGTTTAGCTCTGTTGCAGAAGAACTCTTCTTCATCTTCCTCGCCTGTCTTTACTTCAATCTTGTCAGGGAGTGGCACCACAGGTTCAAAATGAGGTCCATCATCATCCTCATCACCACCATGGGTGCTTCCTCCCTCTGTTTCATGACTTCTATTGGCCAAGTCGGAATTTGAAGTCATAAATAATTGCTTGCTTGGTTCTTGGAAGTTAAACATTTCACTCTTTTCAAAAGACAGGTTTTTATGCGCATTTTGTCCCACGCTTTCTGTAAGAGAGACACCTGAAGTATGCTTATTACTGAAACTGAAGACATTTCTTTGGCCATTTGCGTGACTGTTAACTCCTTTTTGTTCAATGCACCTCTCATCTTGTAAAGGTTTGTCTGATGTTAAAAGCTTCAAAAGGCGTTCACTGCTGTTGAAAGCGCCATTAGCAGGCTGTGTGGCAGCTAAAGGAGAAGAAAAGGTGAAGTCCCCATCATTAGATTTGAAGTTAGTGTTGAATTTAAAGGTTGTTGGCTGAGGCGGCTTTGACCCTTCAGCTGCTCCCGGCTGCCCAAATTTAGCTTTTGAAAATTCTACCCCTTTGGATTCTGCAGGTTTTAAAGTCGTGGGTGCAACCGAAGGCTTTGTAAAATAGCCTGGTTCAGGTAGTGGCGGATTGGTGCTCGCCTGTGGAACACCGTAGTTGTAGTAATCATCGCCTCCACGAGGTGAAATGATTCCAGCAGCAGGAGCATCAAAACGCAAAGGTGTAGCATAGATGTCTTGAGGAAACACACCGGCACAAGTGTTCTGCAGAGGTGGGGTGTGGATCGGTTGTTGATAAGCATATATATGTTGCTGAGGTGCAAGTCTGTTCATGCCGTAGACAGGCGCCTAAGGAAAAAAACACAATCACTTCGTAGTGGAAAAGGAGAAAAAGGGCTCGGGCTGCTAAAGCCCACCCAACATGTACTCTTAATAACAAGGTGAGCTTTACAATTACATTTTGACTCTAATCCGTTTAAACTAAAATCATATGTTCAAAACTCGAATGGTATCTGAAAACGTGGACTGAAGGGAAGCGTAAGCTGAAGGGACTCATTATTGTTACTAGAAAACAAACAAAAAAATGGAGTAAAAACCACCAAGTTCCCATGCTGTTTTGGGGAAAAGAACATCACAGACACAGAGCAGAGAACATATATTAGGCACGTTAAAAACATTCTGCTGGCTGTTTCTCCCAAACCACGTATCACAAACAATAGCTGATAATGGATCTTTCTGCCCGTCTCCAGCAGAGCTCAAGTTTACTAAATGCTACCTAGGGAACTGCAGTACTTCTATCCAACTACACCCAGAATCAAAACCAGTCGTTTTCAATAAGTCAGTCAAAATTGCTTGAGCAGATACATTTGTCCTCACCTTTGTTGGTGTTACATTGGTTGCAGCAGTTCTTAGAAGATACTGGGAGTTATAAGCAGGTGACTGGCTATAGTACACAGATGGGCCAGTGGTAGCAACTGAAAATGAACACCAAGAAAAGAATTTATACCCAATTTGTGATACTGATTTCAATTAACATCCCCCGAGGATCAGTTCTGCTCATTCGTCAAACAACACTGCAGAAAGATTTTAAGAAGTCCTACTCGGTACAACTAAGTGCCCAATAAAAATTCAGCATCAACTTACCCGTTAAAGGAGCTTCATGAAGATTTTGTGCTCTCTGATAACCATCTGGCATAGGATCAGTTCCATAGCTTTCAGCAGGCCACCGATGAGATGACACACTTACGTTGGAACTGTTGAGTTTCATTTCCTGCATTTCATTCTATTCAAGAAGCGTTTCAGTTAAGAGAGTGTAAACGTATTACACAGCTATGTGAAGGAAACCTAAGGAATGATCCCTACTCCCCTGTTATTTAAAAGCATCTTCAAGGTCTGAGACAAAGAAAAAAAAAGTTAACTGCTGCAATAATCCACCATCTGCCTATGGTGTACACAACTGAGATTGTTCCCTGAAGCCAGAAATAAAAAACCCAGAACCAAAGAGGACAATAGCTAAGCTGAAGAACGCAAAACTATCTGAACAGGCAGTCCTTAGAAGCATTACCTCCTCCAAAGTTGTTTACCTTTAAAGCTTCCACTTGCTGACAGAGCATCTGAAGTAAAGATTTATGATCTTCTGCCCACTGAGGAAGAGTTTTAGGAGAAAACTGGAAAAAAACAAAGCTTATTATAGAGCTTCAGTTTTTTATACAAATGTAACACATCCCTAGAAGAGTAATTGGCTAATATACCTTGTAGGTATTAGTTGGTGAGAAAGATAATTTCTTAGGTGATGGAATTGAATGTTTTACTTCCAGATGTGCAGCTTGGGAGATGTTTCCGGAGGCAAAACTTTCCTCTTCATCATTCTCCCCAAGCTCCTGGCTCACTGCATTCAGCATTTCCGTTACAGTTTCAATAGATACTGGCAGCTAAAAATTGGAAACACAAGTCATGATTGCAATTCTTGATCTGAGGAAGAGACTGTGTTCTCATCTATGGCTGAACAGTACACAAGGCTTTCACTACAGAAATTCTAGGCTTTTTTTGTTGTTCTTTCCTTCGCAGGAAAGCCCGACATCTGTTACAATTAAGGTAAGAGGACAATTCACACAAGCATTAATTCGACTTGGAAACTATCAACCTCACAAAGACACTGAGCACAAGCTATTTGTTTACACAAAAGCCGTCATCTACAGAGAATCAAAAACATTTCAGAATCTGATACCTTCACAGAACCTTCCCAGGATATACCACATACTGGAGTAAAGACATTTATTTGCCTTGATGAAACACCATAAGCCTAACTTGTCATGAAGCAAAATCTGTTTTGAGAAGTCTGACTTGAAAGCAAATTGTCTCATTTTGCACCAGTAAGCTAAACCACTCCATCCCTCCAAACAAGATGTTAAGCAGGAATTACTTTGTCAGCTACTGATGGATCAGAGGAGCTTTCATCGATGATCTTCATCAGGTAATGCTTTCTTTTAAGAAGATAGGTTTTGTGTTCTTCTTGTTCTTCTGGCAACATATCATCGCTCTCCATCTCCTCTGCCTTTCTTTGGCAAAGCTACGCAACAGTACATTGATTAATAAGAATTGGTCAGAATGCAAGCAAAAGAAAAGCATTTGGAGGTAATGCAATTTACAAACTTACTATGGCAAGATTCCAGTATGAAACCACGTTCTTAATAGCTTCAAATGCTAATAAAGCATCATCAGTTCTGCCTTCAACCGCATCCAACATTGCAAATGCTATATGTGCCTCTTCTTCATAGGCTGCCACCTGAAAGACCTTCAGCCAAAGCAAAAGACAAGTCACACGTAATGTGCATGTGGACACTTGGAACAGTCAGTAACTGTGAACATCTAGTAAGCAATCAGACAGGAGGAGGTTAATAATATTACTAGTTTTCCTGCGATACAGAAAAACAGCTTTTCAATAAAGCTGGTTCTAAGGGAGTTCAGCGTCTTCCACTCTGATTGTTCTAAAGCTGAACAGTTCAACAGAAAGATACTACCAAATCTTAGCACTAGCAATACAATGACAAAAAAACAAACCCTAACAACACACAAAACCAACCAAACCACAAAAAGAAAACAACCAAGAAACACTATAAAAAACCCCACAACCAATTTACATGTAAGATTGTGACATAAAACCCCTCTTACTCTCATCTTTGAATAATCAATCTGTACCTGAATGTCCACACTATGGAAATGGTTGAACAGAGGATCTGTAGGCTCAGGAATACTTTTGAGCTTTTTGATCATTTTCAAAGAAAGCAAAGTTTTCTTCCAATAGTAGACACTTCTTCCAATATATTCTTTCTGGTCGTAGAAGGAGTTAAGGCTAGTGCCCTGTTGGAGAAATTGAAACTATTGCAGAAAATTCAAATAAAATGTTATACACACTTTTTTATTCATACTTTTTCTTCTCTGATGCAGTTGTTCTCTTGACAAGTTTCAAGAATTTTTCTCTGATGCTTCTGATGTATTTCAGGAAGTCACAGAAAGGCACACACAGGTAGAAAATACATTATTTTCAACTGCGTTGCTAAGAGAGTAGTGAGGGAGAGAGAACTTGTCAGATAAATTAGTTGCTCTAGTCATCCTATCAAAATTAGCAGCAGCTCTCAATACCACATTCTCATCTGATTTTATTTAGTCCGTTCAGTTTGCAAAATTAGAGAAAAACAGATGGTACTTATTCACAAATAATCTTCACTTACTGTTTTTTGCAGGCTTCTTGCCCAGTGGATAATTAAGGCAGGCTGAAGGCCGTGTTCCTCCAGGGCTCGCAGAGTACTTAATCCATGCTGTACAAGAAGCTTCAGTTTTGTTGCTGAGTCTGGCCTGAATATCAGAAGAAATATTCCTCAATTATTAGTCCCCCTCTTTCAATCTGTTCACACATTATTTGTTTGATGAATACAACAAGCAGTTTTAGTCCTAAGCTGGCTCTTGACAAACACAATATTAGAAACGTAAAGCCCTTTTTGGAAAGTTCTCAAGCATCTCACCCCTACAGCAGCAAACCTTTAATGCTCAAACTACGTCAAACAAAAGGAACTCGTTTTACACAACCTATGGGAATCAATTCAGAAGCTGCCTACAAGTTTGGTTCAAGTATTTCCAAACTGAAGAAGCCTTACGTTGTTTTTTTCTGCATCAGAGTACGAACTGCATCCCACCAGGATCTCTGCTTCTCAGTATAGTACTGTTTGCACAGCAGCAATGGTAAGAATGCAGGTTGATGCGTGCCGTAGTGAGTATTAAACTTCTCTTGCAATTGTAAGTTGCTGGTGAACACCATTCCAAGTAAAAAAACCTGTTTGGGTAAGAATAAACAAATAAAGCATTAGGTACCCAAAACCTTGCATTTAAATGCATTTAAGAACTGGGAAAGTTTGCTTACTTCAAGGTCCAGCAGGCAGATGGATTCAGGAGCATCTGTTTCAAGTCTTGATGTTTCTTGTGGCAAGTGAAAAAGCTGTTTTAATACTTTGCGCAGCGGGAATAACGCTGACATAGAATTCCACTGCAAGCCAAGCCAAACAAGGTGCTGGAGACTGCCACTGTGCATTCGAACAGCACCTGTGCAAAAACAAAGGTTGTAAGATGCTAGGATCTGCGTCCCAGTTAGGAAGACCTGTATCTGAAAGCTGGGTTTTGAGAAGGAGCTCTCAATATTTCTCCCATGGAAGGGCTTCCCCAGCAACCTCCTCCCACCTGTTTGCCTCTGTCTAACAAGCTGGAACTAACAATGTTCAAGTAAGATGTAGCATTCTTCAAGTGATTCCTGCTCCTGTTTATATTATATAAATAACTTTAAAAAAATCAACCCAACAATAATATCTATTTCATAAAAGTGCACAAGCAAAGTATATTAATACTTCACCTTTTCTGTCAAAGCAAAAAAAATGGAGATAATATAATACTTCTCTAACGGGGTTAATCTTTAGCCTATGTGCAATAAGTGTTTGGTTTTTTTCTTTTTTAATTTTTGTATTTAAAAACATGATGAACAAACTTCTTCAGAGAGACCATAATAGCATAAACTTTTATTTTAATATGTAAAATACATATATATTCAAAAAGAGAAAGGCCATAAACCTTATTGCTTTGCACTCTGATCGGTACTTTTAGTTTGAATAGTCTACATATATTTTTGACCCCTAGTAGCTAAGTAGAAGACTACTAGCATTCTACTCTTGCTACACCCAAATTCAAAGCAAGCCCTCATCATCGAGTTAAGCTTAAAAACGGAAAGAGTTCACCAGCTCACAACTCGTCCTGGAATTATTTCATTTTGATGGAACCCTTTATTGTAACCTGTGTTCATAGATTACACATGAAGAACTATGTGCCTTCCTATTAGCACTTACAAGTGTACAAACACCAAAAGCTAAACAGGCAGCTTCAACTAGAAATGAATCAGAACAGACCAGAAGACAACAGTGTGGAAGCAGGAAGTATGTGAGAAATTCTTCAGAACCTGGCATGATGATACTGCCTCTCAGCTACAGCTGAAAGTGAAACCTTACAAATCACTCTCTGATGAGAGCAACGATGAGCAGCTATTACAGACACTTGTCTCTTGTTGCCAATGATGCATTTGTACAAGAACCTCTAACACAGTCATGTTTATATTGAGTTTCAGTAACATCTCTTACCAACATCGTATTTACTCAGCTCTCCTTGAACTGGTGCTTGTGTACTGACATTTCCCACATCATCTGTGCCAAGGAAAGATCTCTCTCTAGAAGCTCCACTCCCAAACAGGCTTTCAAACAACGTAAATAAACCACTTTTGTTTGCAAAAGATTCCACAATCTCTTTCAAAAAGTCTTCCTTGCCGTGGCTTAAGTTCAGCAACATGTGGCCTAGAAAACACAATGTCACAGAAGAACACTCAACAATATTTGATGCAGTGGGTTGCTTTTGCTACCTGAGGCTGGGAAGCAAGACTTCCCCTTATGATATTTACAGATTTCTAAGTTACACTCTCCCTATAATTAAGCCAGTGTTTTAGTGTATGGGCTGACAGCAGTCCCAAAGCATTTTAAAATCCAGTTCTCCAAAATTACTATGTATTTTTATTATAATGAGCACTACAGTGGTCTTCAAAATAAGTAGCTGTCAATCTCATCTATTCAGGATGAATTCAGCCTGATGCCTGGTGTTTTCTTTGTTTTCATCTAGAGCCCAAATGACAGCAAAGACTGAAAAAGACTGCCTCTGCTTTAAAAAAACAGCAGAACAGCAGCAAACCTGTTGCAACAAAGAAGGGAACAAAAGTGACAGAGAAAGAGCAGTATTTTCTTTTGTACTTGGGACCAGCACTGCTTGCAAACAGTATATTAGCAGGCAGAAACCAGCAGTCTAAGAGACACTAAAAGTTAAATTCTATCTTAATGTCCTGGAGATAAAAAGTCCATTACATGTCAGGATTAAGCTGCTGTTTTGCTTTTCATACGTAGCCAAAATGTACAAAGTTTTATAGCATATTTCAAGACACCAAACGTGTTCTTTAACAAGACATTAACTCGGAAATCAACTATTCATAAAACTAAAATGGAACTATGCAACATTTGTAATGATTAATTTTTATTACCAGACTGGCTTTTTCGGTCACAGGCCAACATTTCCAGCATATCTTGCCCAGCAGGATCTCCTTTTATTAGTTTTGACTTTGGTTTAGGTACCTGTGGAAGAAAGAATTGTTACAGCTTCTTCACAACAAAAAGGAAATCACTTCAGTTAGCCTTAAAAGTTAGAAAACAAGGTTGTTTCTTTCCTGAACAAGACACTAGGTGAGTCATCAACCAACTGCAAATACCTTTAAGAGCACACAAGCTTGATCCAGCTCTGCTATCTATGCAGTAAGTGTGTGAGAGCTACTCAGGTCATCCCCCTCTCTCCCACACCCATAACCCTGATATCAGTTATTTCAGCTGTTTACAGAAAAGGGCAGACCCTGCAGGAAATACACTCATAAGAGTCATCTTACTTCTGACAAGTGAAACAGTTGAAGAGAACCTTCTTCACATCAGGTGAAATCTTTTAAAGAATTGTGGAAGAGGAAGATTTGGTGAGGAGACAGCCTTAAAAACAGCAGTTAATCTTTGGAATACAGGTGTTCAATGCATGTACAGCGAGAGTGTTCAAGAACCACAACAACTACAAGCACAAACTGAACAGTGACTCACATAGAAACTTTTCAGATAACACAATGCTGCAAGTTCACATGCATCTCTCCACTGCGCCTCACTGTTCTGGGCCATTTTCAGAAGGAAAGTTCCAGCATGCAGGTAGAAGTGTCCTTTCATTTCAAGGAAGGTACGAGACAGCTCATCAGGTCCACTCACATATGGTTTCACAGAGTGAAGCACACGATCAAAACTAGAACGGAGACAAAATTCATTTTCAACAAAGCCCTGATAAAATCCATCGCGTGCTTCAGGCCAGAGTTATTTAGCCATGAATGAAGTGACTTGATAATTCAACTGCTACTGCCATCTCTGCAGCTTAAACCTGAGTTGCACAAGAGAGCAGGACAACAGTCTTGAGCTCCTAGAGCTCTGAACACTGTTTATTGAAGTGAAATCAATAGGAGTCAGTACAAAAGAGAAAGTAATGGAAATAAAGGAACACAAATCTTAAATTAACTGGCTACAAACATTGTTTCGTACTATTCCAGCTGTGGCACACATGACCCAGTCTGCAGTCAGCTGGATTAGTTGGATCAGTTTTCCCTCAAGGAGAATGCAGGTGGCTTCCTATCTCCCATTTACACTAGACACATAAAATTGTTCGTTATTTCAGTATGTGTTGTATTGACTTGACCAGGACAAAGCTGACCCACAAGTGCCTGTGAAATGTAAACCAGCTGAAGTCAAGAACAACACTCTCATGCTGCAGTGAAAAAAGACAACTGGCACAGACTATCACTGAGTCGTCCCTAAGGCTTGTAGCTCAGGCAGACACACAGCTTGGAGATCAAGCCTAGTAACATTTGTTCTTTGTGGCTACTACAGAGGAACTCCCCTCCAATTCACAAAATGGCTACTCAGTGAAAATTATGTCTGCTAGATGTTCTGTGACCCAGAAAAAAAATACTCAATTTCTTTTCTTTTTTTTTTTTTAAAAACAGAAAAGTTAAAACGATACCTTTCAAGTGCCTCTCTGCTTTCTCGAACATCTCTGGAAGCAAGCGTCATTTTAACAAAGCTAGCATAGGCCAGCAGATGATCTTTCTTGATAGCTCTCCAATTATTTTTATCAGATTCCAAGTCTCGAACTGATTCAAGGTATTCCTAAAGAATAAAGTTCATCAGAGAATAAGGAACCACCCTCCTCCAATGAAGGCAAGAGCTTCTCCAGAACATGGCTGCATAATCCAGTTTCCCAGGTGAGACATTAACATACTCTTCAGCAGCAAAAGTCCATAAAGGATTTGCCTCAGCAATTTCCACCTTGACAGAGCTGCTGTATCTAACTTAGCACTTCAGCTAGAAACTAAACAACTCCATAAGACTGAAGAAAATCCCAAGTAAATCACTGGTTTTGGCAAACATCACAGTTGAAGGAATCAAGTCACTTGAGCATTAGCTGCCATTGTAACGTTACTAAGAGAATAACACCAGTTTCAAGGGTATGGGAGATGATGGCAGGATCAAAATATGATTAAATACCTCAAATGTCTTTATGACACATGAACACCATTCCAAGCTTGAGTCTACTGGTATTTTCTTCTCTGCCTCCTGACAATGAAGCACAGCATCTCTTAACCTATTATTTGAACGGTAGAGAGCAACCAGTCTGATGTTCAGGTAGATATCATCTGGTCTCGCATAGAGTTCTGTCTGAATCATATCAAAGAGCTGATTCCATCCATCTTCACCTTTATGTTCCAGTAACTGCTCCTATTAAATACAAAGGCAACACGTTCACATTTCATTCTCCACGAGAGCCTTTTCAGCAACTACATTACCTGTTTTCTCACTGCCACTACAGACTACATTACTCAAACTACTCTGAAAAGCTGTTGGGGCCCAGAGTGTTCTACAACATCTTAGAAGTGGAAAAAAAACCAAACCACTTTAGAGTTAGCATCACATAGATGCTAAGTAAGATGCTAAGTTAAGAGCATCAAATCATTTGGTTCAAAGATGGCACACCTTGATACAGAACAGGCTAAAAAAGAAAATACAAAACACAAAAAACCCAGCAAACACCACACACAAAACCCCAAAGCACAAGCCTCCCAAGACTTCCATTTCATTGCTGTTGCACTACAGAAAACTAATGCCTGCACAAAAGTGAGACAGTATGACTGAAAGCATTTACACACTATTTGGGAATAACAGCATCTCCTACATTCTACAGCTTTTAATTCAAATAAAAAAACCCTAGAAAGCAGTGCAGTCACATAATAGAGGCAATATTAATCTAATCTTGACTTCTTGGATACTATTACTAACATGGTTTTCCCATCAGTTACAGAAACTGCAGTTTCTACTAGGCACAGAGCACAGATTAGGAGTTGCAATTTACCTTCAGTCTGTAAGCAGCAGGACTCCCAGGGAAGAGCCTGGCAGCTTTCTCAACCCAGTACTTGGCTCTTCCATCAGTGATGTTGTTACTACACAGCAACTCTGCAATCTTCAGCACAAGATCTTTCTGCCTTGGATTCAGCACCACAGAACGCTGGGTTTCCCATGCACAAACACAAGAAAAAAGGTTACTGGGAACTTGATCTTGCAGTCCATATAGAACAAGAAAGAAAATATGCCCCCAATAAACACACCCAGCAAGTCAAGTTAGAACTATCAGTAAGTATTTCCTCACTTCTTTCAGAAAAACCTCCTTTTTGAAAGGCCACCCTTGGTTTCTAACACCCAGACAACTGCTGGAATCCAGAACACCACAAGAGAAATAATGCCAAAACAGCTCCTCTGCCTCCACCACCAGCTGCTGCCCTACTCAGACCACTGGACCAGGAGTATCTCTAGTCTAACCTAATACAGAGGCTTCTGAAAATCAGAATGAAGTCAGAAAGACTGACAGAACTCCACTGAGTGGCAACAAGAATTTTGTGCATATCCTCTCCCTCCCCAAAGCCCAAATAATGAAACGTTGACTGGATTTCACATTTATACACTTGCCTAATCAAAACTCTATTTGCCCTGTCCCCTCTACCTCTGAGGAAACAAACAAACAGAAAGCCCACCACCAACAAAAAACAAACTGTGCAACTGAGAAACACTCTCAGTCCAGTCTTTCAGTAGCAGCTGGATTCCTGCTGTTACCATAATCCCTATACAGAATTCTACAGGGGTCACACATTCTTCGTCCAGTGGGAAGAACATCAGAGCAGGCAGCACAAAGATCAAGTCCATTTAAGATGGAATAAAGCTGGACATCAGGGAGGTGAGGGAAGCGCTTACCTTGTAACACCCAAAAGCTTTTTCTATGTTATCCTGAGCTTCATAAATCTGTCCCAGAAACCTGTGAGCTTTGGGATCTCTCTCTTGGACACTGAGATAAGTAGAAATATATCTACAGAGTAAATAAATAACAAAAACAAAAAACAAAACAGAAGGATCAGTACTGCTCAGTAACACAAGAACCCCCACAGCCTGTAGCTAATGTGGGAATGTCATCTGTCATACAGGACATCCAGCCATATTTAGTTCTAGGTGCTTGATCTAGACCTTCAAGTAAGGAACAACATTATCTCTACACGTACAGATTCTACATATTTGCCTGCAAGTACTGGCCTTTATTAAATAAAGCAGTAGTTCCCAGAAACTGCACGTAGGACGTAACACAGTGGCATAAAAGACATTCCAACCAGGTGAGTTCTTACAGCACACTATGACTACCCATCCTTTAGGCTGCTCTTTTAGGCAGATTTAAACGGCATCCAATTCTCCCATTTACTGCTACCTCAGAACAGCTTGATAATGGTCTTGATTTCTCCGCTCCACTTCACTTAGCTTTTCTATCACATGTTAAAGAACAGAACAACATACGTAACATTTATTACCTTTTAGCAAGTTCATATTCTTTTATCTCAAAATACAGCTTAGCAAAAAGGAATCCTTTCAACGATCTCTGAAGGAAAGAAAACAGGACAGGTACATTTTAGATATACAGTACTGCTGAAGGAACTGAATAGGGAGACCTTTCTTTTCAGGGATGCATCATATTTCTAACAGTTTCTTCAGAGTTACCAGCTCCAGTTCACTCCTCGTATTCAGGGCTTTGTTTTTGAAAGATACAGGATTAAGAAAATAATGTTTTTGCCCAATAACTGGCAAAGGCTCCTACCAAAGCAAAACTGGGGTTACTGGCATTCCATAAACACTTCTGACTAAACAGAGAAGAAGAATGGCGCCAGCTACAGATAAGCTTTTTTCTTGCAATGTATCTACGCTGCAGAAGAAAACAGATGCCACAAATTAAGAGTCCAGCTCCTCCTGTTCATGCTTCTGTCACCTTCATCTCTTGCCTATCCTCTTTTTAATATTCACTTTTATTTCCTTGTTCTGCCCTTCAGTCAATACCTGTGGAGAGGTATGTTTCACCTTTCACTCACAGAGGAGTCCTCAAGTTCAAGTTCACTTGGACTGATAACATCAGCACTAAATTACTGCACTGAAGAAACATTTTTTTTTTTACCTGTGAATGAGCTCGAGAACTGGGAAGTCATGAGCAAAAACTTCATGGTAAACATGAACCAGGAGACAAACCTAAAACATGGGGTCCACGTAACACTTCCACAGTAGCCTCTGTTTGAGAATCAGGAATACTGGAACTAGTTACACCTATGACTCCAGATGTGAAACAAATTCCTACAATCTAAAGACACTTGAATTTAGTCTCCTATCCTTTTCCTACTTCCTTTCAGGAGTAATCTTCAGGTTACTCCTCAAAAATTTTTACAAGTGGATTCAAAGGAACACCAGTCTCCTACTTTTCAGTCTGTATTCTGAAGTAAAACATGGATATACTGACATGCACAGAGTGCAATCATGCTTGACATCTCCTCGTAAACAGGGTTGGAAAGAAACTTCAAAATAAATGCTTACAGCCTCGTACAGCCCTCCTCTCCAAAATCAACACTGCAGAAAAACCAGTAACTACTTCCATCACTGACTGTGCTATACAGCCAGTTACAAGCATCACTGAAAAGATGAAACCAAACCCGCAGCACTTGGCCTTGAGCACTACTAAAGGAGAGGCAACATTTTTGCATTGAGCTCCACAAGAATACCAACACTGTTGAAGATTATCTCCAAATTTAGCAGCGATACATTCAACACTGTGCAGCCTAAACAGCATCAAAATCTACCAAACAAAGTGAAGGGACAACTCCACTGCTGTTGAAGAAGATCAAAACGAGGATTCATGCAGGCCTTACACTCACATCAAGGCCCTGCTGCATCACAGTGTGCATTCACATTACACAACTGCTGAATATTCCACGTCTGCAATAAAACCAATTCAAAGCAGCAGAGCGGGACCTTTCCGGATGAAACTGCTCCTATGAACCTCATCAGTCAGCTCACCGTGACCTGCACACCATTTTCCTGATATCAGGGAATCATCTGGCTGCCCAGTTACTAACGCACAGCAGCAAAGCTATTTCCCCCCACCACTCCCTCTCTTATTACTGACGTTTCACAACGCTGTCACACAGATGGGAATAACAGCCACACAACACACCAAAGAAATTCAGAAGATTAACAGTATGCATTCCCTAGTTTGGTTCCTCAAGAGAGGGAAGGCTGGAAGATCGGCTTTCCAGTACTTGAAGGGAGCATATAAACAGGAGAGGATGTGGAGGGGAATAGATAGCGATAGGACAAGGGGGAATGGTTTTAAGCTGAGACAGGGGAGATTTAGGTTCGATATTAGGAAGAGGTTTTTCCACACAGAAGGTGGTGACGCATTGGAACAGGCTGCCCATGGAGACTGTGGATGCCCCGTGCCTGGAGGCATTCAAGGCCAGGCTGGATGTGGCTCTGGGCAGCCTGGTCCGGTGGCTGGCGATCCTGCAAATAGCACGGGGTTGAAACTAGATGATCATGGTGGCCCTTTTCAACCCAGGCCATTCATTTCCCACAGAACAGGAGGGATCCGTACTTCACGACGCCGCTGCGCTCTTTCGAAGTTAACCGAGGGCTCTCCAGTTTTAAGAGGCGCGCAGCGGTAGCAAACCACGCTTCCAAGGAAGTATATCCGCGGCCCCCCTCCCAGCAGCCTCCCTCGGCTTCGACTCCCCACCCACACGACTCCACGAGCCCCTCAGCAAGCTCTGACTCACCAGCGCTCCCGGCAGCGGGAACGCCACGACCCCCCCCGCCCCGTACCCGAGGGACGAGGCCGCAAAGCGCCGCCCGCCCGGGCAGCCCAGCGCCTTTCCCGCGCACCGGGCCCGCCGGCCCCCGTCGGCCATCCCGGGCCCCGGCAAAGCCCGCGGCCACCCCTCGGGCCCGGCACCCGCGGGAGGAGAGGAAGGACGGGGCGGGCGGGGAGCGGACCACACCGCGGCCCCGGGGAGGCCCCGGGGAGGCCTCGGGAGCGCCGCCGGCGGTGCCGGCCGGGCCCCAAGCACTCACCTCTCTAGGAGAGGAGGCGGCGGCCTGCACGGAGGCGACGTATCTCTCCACCTCGGGCTTCGTGCGCCGTATCATGGCGCCGAGCCCGGCCGTCCGGCCGGCACTCGTCGTCGGTGACCACGCCGAGCCTCACCAGAAGAAAGAGCAAGCGGCGGAAGGCCGGCACTCGTACGCTACGCAAGTTCCCGCTCCACACACGGCGCAACGCCCTCCGCTGCCGATCGCGGCGACGCGCGACGTCACAGCCCCGGCGTGGGGCGGCGCACGCGCCGAACGCGCGCATGCGCAGTGTGAGCGGCTGCTGCGCGGTTCGTTGTCGTGGCGGCGGGAATCTGAGTTGCGGAGCGTTACGCCGCTCGGCGCGCCGCCGGTGCCGTCCTCAGCCTGTCCGCCCTCGAGCGGTCTTAGGAAACAGCGCCGCGTGAGGCCGTGCTGAGGTGTTTTCCTCACCTGTAAGGACGTGCTGCGTCACCGCCAGTGTCAGCGTCACCCGCCAGCCATCGGTCACGCTTTGTTGTTTGGATTCATAGACGACGAGTTTTGAGCTCTGGGTTCCAGGCACCGCGAGTAGCAGAAATGATTGGTTTCTGTCCGAAGCAGCTTGCAGGATGGCGAGATGCGCCAACCCAGAAGACGGGGCTTAAAAAGCGATGTTCTGAGTTTTGTGGTTCTGAGCACCGGCGCCGCCCCGTGCTTTAGTTCCTGCCAGGGAGTCCTGGCTGCTGCTCGCTGGAGGGGCTGATGTCTTTTTCTGCCGGTTCTAAGCAAAGTGGGGCCACCAAGCTGCAAGTTAGTGAAGTCTCATTCATGGGGAGAGAATCACAAATGCACCCCGCCCACCATTGCTAAGCCTTAAGGCTGCTGCTGTACCCAAGAAACACTGACTACCTTGATAGGAACTGAGCACAGCTGCCAGAGGCAGAAAGGCTTTAGGCGCAGGTCCTTCGTCCTGCAGGTACCTCCCCTGGGCTTTCTAAAGTGCTGTTAGAGTGCCAGTATTATGGGATAATTGTAGTACATAGATTTTCATTAAAGTTGATGTATTATGAAATCTGTGCATTGTTCTGCCTTAATCTAGCTGGGGGTATTCATGAATCTGGTCACCTTTTCCCTCCTCTTATGGGCGGGATGTGACAGTGCCACATCTACAGTTGTTGAACATCTCCAGGAACAGTGACTGCATCTCCTCCCTGGCAGCCTGTGCCACTGCTTCACCACTGTTTCTGAGGATGAATTTTTGATAATATCCAATCTGAACCTCCCGTGGTGCAACTTGAGGCCATTCCCTCTCATCCTATCTCTGGGAGGCCAATCCTTACCTCGCCACAACCTCCTTTCGGTTCATCACCTTATCAGGAGAGTGATAAGGTCTCCCCTGAGCATCCTCTGAACAACTGAACAACCCCAGTTCCCTCAGCTGCTCCCTGTAAAACTTGTGCTCCAGACCCTTCACAGCTTCGTTGTCTTTCTCTGAACACACTCCAGGGTCTCAATGTCTTTCTTGTAATAAAATCAGCCTCAAATCACGTACATCTATGTGAAATATTTACAGTACTGACAGGCCAGGAAGTGAACTTCAACACCAGACCTGTAATTGTCCAGGCTGCCTAATTGCTAGCTCACTCCCTGGCTCTTCTTTTAATTAATGCTCTTGATGACAATATCCATGGTTATTACTTCAATGACAGTTTACTCCTAAGACAGCTGCTGAGTGAGCAGCGTGAATTTGAGCAACATTCCACTGGGAAAACAAGAATACAGGAAAAAAAACTTCATCATGAAGGTCATTAAATACTGGAACTGCTGCCCACAGAGGCCCGTGAAATCATCTCTTCCTTGGACATGCTCAGAACTTGGCTAGATAAAACTTTCAGTACTGATAAAGCTTTGAAAGTCACACTTGCCTGGAGCAGATGTTTGGACTACCTGACAGTCCCTTCCTTCTGAAATCTTCATGGGATGCAACAGGCTTTGAAGCCCCAAGACAGCCTCGATGCTATTTGTGGGGTCTGAAACACACACCTGTGTTAATGGCACAGAAACCACTGCCTTGCTGCTACTGCACATCGTGTTCACTACCAGTAACTTGAAGAAACAGCAGAAAACATTGTTAGGGCCCCAGACTGCCACAGAGCCCAGGGGAGACTGATGGCTACACACTGTGAGTGAGGTGTGGATGTGACCTTGCGAGGCAGAGCTTACTGAGCAGCCTCAAGTTAGGGATTGTTCCCAGCTCTCTCAGCAGTAAGGCTGTGCATATGGTCAGCATAATGTGGAAAAGCAAAACAAAACAAACACACTTGAACTGAATTACAATTTAAAGGAATCATTGTTGAGTACTGATGGGCTGAATCCATGTCACAGTCCAAAATCTCAACAGTGTTACTATTACGCTTCTTACATACATTTTTGGGGGGGAATTTTCAGTCGTGAACACAGTAATGACTGCATTCTGCTACTGAACTGTTATTGCATGGGATAACTGTATATAATCACGAAGTAAAAAATACCCTACCTAGCATTAAATTGGAAGCCTGGGATGAAAGTTACACTACAGTGAAACGAGTAGAGAGCAAAATCTGGGAGGAAGATGTGCTTTTGAACTTACTTTCTTTCAGAAAACCTGGTGACAGTGCCAATCAGAAAATATCCAGAAGAATCGAGCTGTTGGTTATGAAACAAATGATAATTTATTTTTTAAACCTAAAAACTAAAGTGCATTTTTAGGACAGGCAGATGTCTCCTCTAAGTCAGGATAGTAAAAGAGTTTCACATAGATAGTCACAGGTAGAAGCATAGTGAAGGAAGGCTGCCTAGATGCTTTTCCACCCATCTCCAGTACTCAAATAAAAGAGGTGATACAGGTTTTAATAACATTAGCCTTTATTGATGACACTGGAAAGATGTTCCAAAGCATTTGTTTTTCCATAAACAGGAAAGAAAATTTTGCTTGCTATGAAGTAATGATATAAAAATTGTGTTTCTAATATGAAAAAAAAAAAAAAAAAGGTTTGCATACTTGATAACAGTACCATCAAGAATTCCTAAGTAATGGTATTTTTGACAGAAAAGGGAAAAGCAAACTTCCATGGACAGAAGTCAACAGTATAAAGCAAGCACAAGCATACTACAGTGAATTCTGACGATTTGTGAGCACAGTTCTTGAAGATGGCTGAAGAAACAGATCCCAGTAGGATCAAACTTCACATATTTACACTCACAGTGTAAAAGTAATATTGCCAGTTAACTCAAATACGCATTTTCATTGCTGTTCCAGAAGTCAGGGAAGCCTAGAAGCTAAACTTCAACCTCAGGTGTTCACACCCGAAGCAAAGTTCCTCTTGCATCCTGGATAATTAAGGCAAATTTTGTTATCTTTTGAAAATACCTCATACATAGTTTCTGCACAAAAATAAGAAATAAAAATAAAACTATAGATATATATTGAATGGAACACTGTTACATATGGTCCGGCAGAATAAGGCACAAAAAGGAAATCAAAGGCAAGAGCTTATATAAAAGTTAATGTGTTAATCTGAATGGAATACAGCAAAATTCAAGTAGATCTGAGTACACTTGTTTCTTGCAGTGGGAATTAGACTTCATACAGATATTTCATGCTAAGGCTGATGTACAGAGATTCAGCGTGTAAGTACAACCTATGGGAAGCAGGGCATTTGTACAGTGACTGTGTTTAGCAATGCGGTACTTTTCAACCACCTTCAACAAGGCTCCTCAGTGGGACTATTGGACCTGAAATCTAAGCATTATTTTCTCCGGGGAATGAGGTATGTTTGGTTTCTTGCCCAGGCCACGGGGAATTTTGTATGCATGCTTCATTTGCATGCTGATATTTTCATTAATATAAATGACACTGCATGCCCATAACGTTGGGCCTGTTTGCACAATGTGCTTTCACAAGGAACTCACAAGCATATTTTCTCAACCTAAAATTCCTCAGAGATTACTGTGCTCAATGGCCCTCTTGTATGGGTGCATTATCAGGGTCAGAAACCTCTCAGGTGAGTTGACAGAAGCGTGGTCTGTTTATCAACAAATCTCTATTCGTACGTGTACTCACAGAGAGAATGGAGCATTTCAAGACGAAAGGCACGCATTGTAATCTGTTGTCTGATTACAGCCTCAGAGGCCCTCCCAAGTAACAGATACAACATTTTCATAAGGAAAGGGGAGAGCAGAACAAGTCTTCACTTCCTTCCCACAGTTTCAGCTAATTTCTTCAGCCTTTTCTTCAGCTCTAGAGGAAACTTCTCATAGCACTTTTTGCAGACAGGCTTCATATCAAACTCAACAAATTTATTTCTAAAATGACATAGCAAGAAAACAAAGTCTTAGTGGAAGGGATCCTGAAGAAAATAAAGGTTGTATTAAATGCATGCAGACAAAAAATGCAACTGCACTTTATACGTATGTATGAAATTACTTTCAGAAGCTTATACACATTGCAGACCGTGACTGAAATACTCTGAGGGAGTTATGCCCCATTTATAACTGTGTCTCTGAAAAAATCTTTCAAACTCAGCTGTATTGCTAAGCAAACTGAGCTTAAAATAATAAAATAACAGTATTTCAAGTTGCAGTTTTGTGAAAAATATTTGGCTGTGAACCATGAACGCATGCAAAAACTGTAAGTAAAAGCATCTGTAGCACTGACCAAAGAAGAAAGGAGCACAGGTGGTGGTGAGAAGAAAAACAGTTTACAAGCAGATGGGCTTTTTCTTTTTCTGCTTCTCTTTCTCCTTCGCTTCGCGTTCCCGTTTGGCAAGGCGTCGCTTAAATTCATCTGGCATTTTCTCATAGCAGTGTTTGCAGACAGGTTTTAGATCAATTTCAACAAACTTATCTCTTCAGAGTGAAAGGCGGAAAAAATAAAGGACGAAAAAGGAGAAGAATTAAGAAGACTGAACTGAAGGAAGAACGGAACAGGCAGCTGAAAGAGATGTAAGTCAGTAAATAGAGCAAGAAGAAGGCACAGGCACATTGTCTCAGTGCTGTTCAGACGGCTTTTGTACTGTAACAGTTAAACCTATAGCAACATCCAATACCGTAAAGAGAACCACTGATATGTTTTGAAGGCATCACACCTATCGACTGACTTACTTGAGCGTTAACTTAGTGTTGCAGGTTGAACAAGCAAAACAGTTCACACACCATGCCTTATTCAGAGCAGATACAACTAGAGCAAGGGAAAAAAAAAAGAGTAAATCAGTAGCATTACCAAAAAAAGTAACAGTTCAGCTCAAATGTTTGTGAAATGTGAAAAATCATTTGAATCTTGTAGCAAGCATTAAGGTCTGCAACAATAATGAGGCAAGACCTGGAAGGCACACCTGATTGTTACACAGCGGGACTCAAGCAATGATAAAGCTGTCTCGCAGAGGGCACGCAGCTCTGCTTTGGAGAGGAAGTGTCTTCTCTTTGTTCTGTACCTCAATTCGCAGTTACTCCCCTCTTTCAGTATACCTTGGCACCTTTCCCAGCCCAATGTTGCTTCTGTTTCCAACCATAGATCAAGGATTCTGACTAATATTCTAAAGTTCCATGTGGAGCTCTTGGAACTGGTCCAGAGGAAGGCCACTAAAATGATCAGGGGGCTGAAGCACCTCTCCCATGAAGAAAGGTTGAGGGAACTGGGCTTGTTCAGCTAGAGAAGAGAAGGCTCTGGGGAGACCTCATTGTGGCCTTCCTATATTTGAAGGGAGTGTATAAATAGGAAAGGGAACGGCTTTTTACGAGGGGGGATAGTGATAGGACAAGGGGGAATGGTTTTAAACTGAGATGGGGGAGGTTTAGGTTAGATATTAGGAGGAAGTTTTTCACACAGAGGGTGGTGACGCACTGGAACAGGTTGCCCAAGGAGGCTGTGGAAGCCCCATGCCTGGAGGCATTCAAGGCCAGGCTGGATGTGCCTCTGGGCAGCCTGGTCTGGTGGTTGGTGACCCTGCACATAGCAGGGGGTTGAAACCAGATGATCATTGTGGTCCTTTTCAACCCAGGCCATTCTAAGATGCTACAATTCTATGACTCAGGACAATGTTCTTCTCTTACATTTTGTCAGCAGCAAACAGAACCAGAACTTTGTAAAGCCAAACATCTTTTCCCACACTATGGGGCAATCACATCCACATATGCCTACATTTCTTC